TTTCTTTTCTGGATTTTTGTTTGTTTGTTTGTTTGTTCCTATTCTGACATGTTTTATTCTGCAATAATCAGAGATACTAAGGAACATGTACTTTTAAGTGCTTAGTTAATTTACAAAGGTTTTCTTTAGCTAAAAACAGATATATGTCTTTTACCATATCCCAATAGATCTTGCACATAATATTCTTTGAAAAGAGTAGAAAAGGTTGCACTTTTGTCAAACGTAATATTTAAAGATCACAGATGTTATGGTTTGGATGTGAGATGTCCCCCAAAAGCTCATGAATGAGAAAATGCAAGAAGGTTCATAGAAGAAATGGTTGGGTGAGGAGGGCTTTAAAACAATCACTGATTTAATTCCCTGATAGGGCTTAACTGAGTGGTAGATGAAGTGGAAGGATGTGGCTGGAGGAAGTGAACTGAAGCATGATTTGAGGTATATATTTGTATCTGGCAGGTGGATTCTCTCTCTGCTTCCTAATCATGTAAGGCCTGTCCCTCTGTCACACTCTTTTGCCATTATGTTCTGCCTCAACTTGAGCCCAGAGAAATGAAGGCAGCCTTCTATGGACTAAGACCCATGAAACCATGAGCCCCCAAATAAACTTTTCCTCTTACACAGTTGCTCTTGTTGGGTCTTTAAGTCAAAGTAGCAAAAAAGTCTGACTAAAACAACAAGTATACCCCAAAATTTCATGAGGAAAATTACTATGTAATAGGCTTCTTGACAGCACTGTCTATTTTATATTGCTCTTATTCAGTAATCTAAGGATACAGCAGGATTTTAACCAAGACTGCTAGGACTAGAGTTCACATCCTCTAAGGAAAAAGAGTTTAGCCTAGGTTTTCACAGGCCACAATGGGGCAATGAATATTTCCCATCTATAAACATAATACAAACTGTTTGCCCTATTAAGAGCTGACGAATGAATTGAAACCTTTTCAAAGTTAGTATAGCTTCTTTGAACAACTTACAGTATGAATAATTATCAATAAAAAGAGAAGTTTTGAACTCACAATAGTACAAATGTGATGGAAAAGACTGTTTTGCTAGTTTAGATTAGAGGCTTTTTGCTATTCTACTTGTCTCTTGTCCTAAACATAAACTTAGTATCATGCAAAAAAAAATGCACATTAGAGACTTTTGATGCAACAATATTCTCAAAAGTTTGATTCGCATGAAGTGAATACTGTAAATAAAGCATATATATTTGGATTCATTTTTTAAAAAGAGTGATAAATAGCACTTCTTGAGCTTATTTATATTTCATGAACTTAAAACTTATATAGTAGGATAAACTAGTATGATTTGGTGAAACAGGATGGCAGATGCCAGAGAAAATTAAGATTTTATGGGCATAGAAGAGAACTCCACATATAACATGGAAGTAAGACAAACCACAGATTTTCAAAAAAGTTGCTAATCTTTTTCTCTGTTCATAGCCACTCTCTCTGTTATTCTGACCTGAAATTTTTATAAAGTTCCAGATTTACGCTTCACTAAAAGAAAGACTGGCAGTAATGCTGAGTCCTATCATATTGTATTATAGTTCAATTAGGCAGAAAATGCTCATAAAGGACTAAATAAGAACAACTCATATCTGAGAAAGCTACTCTGAAGAAGATTTCTAACCTGAAGGCCTAGAATGGAAAAGACAAACCTAAATAAGTGTGTGTGGTGTGTGTATGTATGTGGGAGACAGAGAGAAGAAGAAGACAGGATGCGGAAGATGGAGACACAAAATTAGGGGGGGGTGAATATAGAGAACTGTGCTTCAAGTAGATTTGACCTAGAGGCTAATATTGAGACCACAATAAAATATAGACAATGACTACAGCCATGAACCTCATTTCCTTACTAATTAAACAAATTGTGCAAAACCACAAGAAATACTTCATGGGCTAGAAAAAAATTGCAAAATTATTAAGTTCAGAATTTTTGACTATTAAGAAACATAGACATATAGTAACACTTTATGTTTCAGAAAGGTTACAAAAAATCTAGGTTTTGAAGTACATAACATAATTAAAAATATGTAGAAACCAATGATTAAATATGATGACTTTGTGAACTGAACAGAAAGAGCTTTATGTCTCCCTCTTTGTCTCTCTCATATATTCCTAATAAATGTTCTCTGATACAGACACATGCTAGTATAATTGATAAAATGTCAGCAAGTACTTTAAACTAAGAAACTATATATTTCATTCATTCTAAACAAGAAAATTAATTATTATATTTAAAAATATAGTAAAGCCAGGTGCAGTGGTGCACATCTCTAATCCCAGCAACTTGGGAGGTTGAGACAGGAGTACTACAGGTACAAGGCCAGCCTCAGCAACTTAGTGAGACCCTACCTCAATATAGAACATAAAAAGAACAAACAAAAAACAGTAACCAACAAAAAATATGGGGTGGTAAAGAGATCCTGGGTTCGAACCCTAGTAAGTATATAAGTATAAGGAAAGAATGGATTAAGTTCTCTTCATTACCCATTTCATTGCTGAGGTCATTAAAGCTGGGATGTTGAGAACTCACATAGTTAATAAGTGACTGGTGTAAGATATGAAGTAATCTCCAGTTGTTCCAGAATTAGAAGAGCAAAGTGGTTGATCTGAGCAATTCAGTGAGAGAATAAGCTCTAGCTGCCATTCAAATGTTTTTTTAGAAAAAGAAAGCACATCAGTAGACACACTTTGCTGAATCCCTTCCAATTATTGATCACTGTATTCAAAATGACTTCAAAATGAAATGTCTTGAACTCATTGAACATTTTCTTTTGCTCTGTTTTTTAAAGGTCAGAAGATGAGGAAGTGTTGATGGGAGTGGTCACCTCTGTTCCATTTGGCATCAACTGGGATCAGCTGATGATGGGAGATCAACTTCTGAGAAGGCATTTTCACTCCAGCACCTTACTTTTCCTGGCTTTTATATCCCTAATGTGGCCTCCCATCATCTAGGTCCCTCCACTTAAGTTGGGTGTGGGTAGCTGCACTTAATATATGGTGACTACTTTACAATAGCCAGGAAATGGACACATCCAGGCCAGTTAAGGCTTATGACCACCTCTGTCACAGTGTCCATTCTGCATATTCTTCATGTCTAGTAAACCCTGGGCCATCAGATACAAGTAAGTACAAAAACATCTTCTACCTCTTGATATGAGAATTGTAAGGACTGGTTTGAAAATGGAGGTATTGTTGTGGCCAACTTGAGAAGACAAGCTGTCACACACTTCAAAACCTAAAATTTCAAGTTGATTTAATTCTAGGTTCTTCAGACCTTTAATATATTTACACTCCACAAACGGACTTCAGCATCTGATTCTCCACAAAAGCTTATTTTAACATCTACTATTAGTAATCCATTCCTAATTTTAAATACTAAGTCTGTTTGGATAAATCAACTTTGAAAGTATAAATGATAAAATATGTACAAAATTACAAAAAATCAACACATTAGAAAACAATAATGAAAGATTATGACATGAAAAATTAAGAAATTATTAGAAGTAAAAACAAAGTTTTGGATACAGGGATAACTACTGATTAAGAATTATAATCAGAAAGAGCAAGAATTTTGTATTCTAACTAGTACTACTAGAAGTTTGGACTTGAATATAGTGTCAATATAGTGACTTTACTATGATGAGGCCACATGAAGAGGATAGTGCATACAAAATTCTCATAGAGTGTCTAGCACAAAGTTAATTTGGGACCCCAAATTTTTAGTTATATTTACATATTCACTAGGAAGATGGTCTGATACTTTTCAGTTTTTATGCAATATTATGAATTTCTATATATATTTGCATCACCTAATCTTTTTTAATTTGTTCTAATTAGTTATACGTGACAATAAAATGCATTTTGATTCACCAACATTAATGGAAGTTCTCTTTCTTTTGGTTGTACATGATGTAGAATCACATTTGTTGTATAGTCATACATGGACATTGGGTAACAATGTTAGATTCACTCTACTATTTTTTCTACCCTTTTACCCATCCTTCCCTTCTCTTCTCTCTACCTAATCCAGAGCGACTCTTTTCTTCCCCCCAGTTGTGAATTAGTATCCACATATCACAGAAAGCAGACAGGCTTTTTGTGTGTGTGTTTGTTTGTTTTTCTTTTTCTATTTTTTTTTGGGGGGGGAATCAACAACCAGCAAACCAGGACTATAATTCTTTAAGTAGAAGTACTGGGTTTTAATTTTAATGTCTACATTTGGACTCATGGTTCCTCTTATATTTAATTGGGCTCAATATTAGTACAGAGAGTCAGACTTACATCTTGTCTGTCTTATCAGAGAGGGCCTACCATCTCTAATGAACTCTAGTTGTATTAGTGAAAGTTGTATTTTTGTAAAGCATTAACAGAAAATATCATGCGATTTACAAGAAAAATATGAAATGATATTAGCAAGAGTAAAGCCATGTTGACTTTGCATAATAGCTATGATGCATGAAATATAATTTTTATAATCTGAAAACTTTCCTTTAGACTTCAATTTGAAAAAAAAATAGGTTGGTGGAATGCTCTTGTAAATCTAATAAAATTTAAAAGGTTTGTATAAGTGAAAGATATGAATACAACTACTATACCAAGAAGCAAGTAACAGCACCATAGTTACACTGTTGTTCTTATTTTAACCAAGTTTAGTTTTAAAGAAAAATTCAGAATCTGTAGTGTAGTTTAATCCTCTAAGCTAACAGTGATAATTTCAACAGAGTTCTACATATTAAACATCCTTAGACTAGTTTCTCTCAATAATAAAACTTTACACAAAAATTATCTGGAAAGATGAGAGCAGATTTACTCCAACATCACCATGTGTATGTGGGGGCAGAAGATCTTTACTCACAGAAGCCACAGGAAGCAGCCAGTGCCCCCATTCCAGAACCTCTCTGATGTCACACTTGTCGTCATGGCACTCTGGGTACAAATCCAGAAGAGCCATCTGGTGGCTCTCATTTATTTGAGAGCAGGCGATGAGCCAAGATGGTCTCAAATGTTTCATCACCTTCACCCATAACTCCAGCCAGATATGGCTGGCTTTTGCCAAGCCTTTTGGCATCCTTTAATGTGGCAGCACTGGCCACTTTGAGTGTCCTCTTTTTCTCCATCCCGTGAGTATCTCATGCAAGCTACTAGATTTCTTACAAAGAGCTAGAAGGGAAAATAGTGATAGTTAAGAGGCAGGAAGTGGAGAAAGAGGATCAGGAAGAGGAAGAAGGATATATAGTCAGAAGCACAGAGATCTAGAGTGCCTGATGCATTTAGGAACTGGTGGGTAATGCTAGTGACATTTGATAGTGTCTTTGGTGTGTTTCTAGCATAGATATTTAAAACTGTCCTTAAGGAGTGTGAGTCCTATCTCAGGTAGGCCAGGACTCATGGGGCATTCTAGGTTGCCCCAGAGTAGAACTTAGTCTGGCTCTGCTTTCAGCTGCCGAGCCTTGGCCCAGAGTGGAGAATGGGCCCTTCCAGTGGCCACTGGGCTCCTCTGTCTCCTCAGTTTCTACAGCCTCATTTGCATGAACATATCAGACCCAGGCATCTTGCACAGAGGTAAGGCCTTAGAACCTGGAGAGGAGGGGGCAGCCCAAGGGCTGAGGCCTATAGGGGTGATTTCTAAAGTGCTCACCCCACCTAGGGCCTCAGAATCCCTTCTCTCAATGTCATCCTTAATTAGGTGCTGGCAACTTATTTCCCAACCAACTGAGGTGTGATAAAACAGAATCCTGGAGGTTTTCCAGTTGCTTTAGAAGACCTAGCAGGCTGGCAAAAGAGGCCAGGCAGGCTCTTCCAAACCTCGCAATTGATACTCTTTCCCATTTCACACATGTCTCCAAGCACTGATCACTATTCCAAAGGGTGGAGCTCCATAGAGCGCTCTTCTGGCTGGAAACCCCCTTGTCTCTGACTGCCAGCTCATGTGAGTGGTCAGCTTGCTCAACAGGAACCAGGATTCACCTGCCCAACTCCTCCCCACCCTCTTGCTGTCTTGTGATTCTACTGGGCTGCCCCAAGCAGCAGAGTGCTCAAAGGGCCTCCTGCCACTACCCAAACTTCTTCCCATGCCAGGCTCTGTGGAGCAGAACCCAGAGGCATCCTATGTGGCACATTTGAACAACAAATGTTTCCCAATGCCATGGTGTGCCAAATGTCATCTCCACCGCCTGCCCCGAACCTACCACTGTGAAAACTGCAACATCTGTGTGGAGGTGAGTACTCATCCTCCCTGTCCACTCATCAACCCATCCCCAGGCACCTAGCCAGGAGAAGGAACCACCCATCATAAGGGGGCCAGGGGTTGGTATGAGACTATCTTCCCACACTGCTAATAGTAGGTCTGACACACTGTTGGTCACTTACATATGTCATCATCTCTGTGTCTGCACCTGTCCTGAGAGACTGGCCTTGCTTGCACAGGTGTGACATGCAAAGGGCATACCATCCGTGCTGATCTGGTGGAGCCAGGGGAAGGAAAGGCAGTGACTGTCCCATCCCCTGCCTTGCTGATGTACCCAAATTTTAGGCCTGCTGCTGCCCTGTTCTGGGGATCTTTGCCTATCCCCCTCTGGGTGTCCCAGTTGGAGGGTTTTCTGGGTTCTGAGTGCTTTTCTCTCGTGTGCACACCCTGCATGGGTTTACAAGTGCACAAGGCTGGCTGGGAAAGGCTGTTTCTTTCATCTTCATCCAGTATCTGAGAAAATAGAGGCCCAGATTTATTCTACATCCTGTTCCAAGTGACACTGGGCAGGTCTTGTCTCTAAAGACCTCAGTCATGACAGGTGACCTGATGAGCCATGGAGTCCTAACTGTTCTCTAGCAATAGAAATGTTACTTTCTCCCTGGAGATGGGAGCTCAAGTGTAGGCCCACGAGCAGGTGGCCTAGAGGGCTAGTTTGTGGGAGGCCTCAGGATTTGGGGGTGCTGGAAGCCAGGCCAGTAGACCCTCAGTGCTGCCTCCTCTCCTCTAGGAATTCGACCACCACTGCAGGTGGATAAACAACTGTGTGGGCCACCGCAACATCAGGCTCTACCTGCTGCTCCTCCTCTCATTGTGCCTCTACCTGGGTGCCGTGCTGGCTAGCTGTGTGGTATTCCTGGTACACCGGAGGCACATACCCTTCATGGACCGAGCCCTGACGGATCCACGCAGTCCCAAGGGCCCACACTGGGACCAGCTCTGGTGGAGGGGAGGGAGGGGTGGTCACTCAAGGGGCTGGGTAACTGAGGGCGGGGATGACTGGGCGGGGCTATAGGGAGAAGTCAGTTGGGAGGACCGTTGGTGGACCTCTTGAAGGCTAGTGGGGGTGGGGCAGGACATGGCCCGTGGAATTGAGAATCCAGAGTGGGGCGCATGGAGTGGGGGAAGAAGGTTGAACTGGGACAGGAAGTGGAGTGAGGTTGGGCTTAGGTGTAGTAGACTAATGGTCCAGTCCAGAGAGGAAGAGCTGGTGGGTGGGGACAGTTGGGACATGAAAACGAAAGGGGAGGGGTCAATGGAAAGGCGGGGCCAGGGGGGAACTGTCCCCTGGCTTGGCTTCTTAGCCTGTGCACAGCATCATAGTGGCTATACCTTCCGCTGGCTTCCTGCTGCCACTCATCCTGCAGCTGCTCATCAAGGCCAGGGCGGTGAGCACCGCAAGGCGCCCCTATGAGACCCAGGTAAGGGGACCAAATGTGTGTGCCCTGATACCCAGCTGGCCACCTCTGCCACTAGGCACTATCTCTGCTTTCTCCACTGCCCTTGGCCCTGATGATGTCCCTGAGTCCTTCCTGACCCACCTCTTAAGATGCAGCTCAGATCTCTCCTCCCCATGGAGCTGGGTGTTCATGCTCCCTCCTGGGTGCATTGCATTGAAAGCCTACTGTGAGCTAGGATGTGTGTTATTTGAGGGATGCATACAGAGGTGAGTAAGTACTTCATGCCCTCTTGCTGATAAGCAGCTTGCAATCAGAATAACACCAGCTGACACCCAGGAACACTGGAAGAGATGGGGTTGGTCCTGAGTGGTGTAGCAGACAGGAAGAAACTGGGAGTTTGACAAGGCAAGGGCTGTAGAATAGGACATGCCACTCTGTGTGACCTTGGATGTTGTGTGCTTTTGGATTGGCAGAAGGCCAGACTGCATTGCCTGTGAGAGACACACCTGTGCACAAAGGCATGGAAACATGGAAGTAGGGTGTGAAAACAACAATGGAGAAAGGGATCTAATTCAACCACAGGGTGGCAATGAGCAATGAGGTTAAGCCCATGGGGTCAAGATTAGAAAGGCCCAGAAACTCAACCCTGGTAATTAGTTTGGATGAAGTGCAAACCTGGGAGAAATGGTAAAATTTCCTCAAAATGTCATGAGGAATAATTTACAAACCATAAAATTTATCCTTTTAGTCTATAGTTCGGGATTTGGACAAATGCATACCATTGAGTACTCTCCACCATGGTCAAGGTTAGACCAGTTTCATTACTCCAGAAAATCCTTTAGTATGACAACACCTCCTATAAAGCCTCCTTCAGGAAGACTGGTGGGCAGTACCAATGGGGGAGGGGAAGCTGCAGACCCAGGGACAGCTGAGAAGACAGAGGAGCCTGTGTGCTCAGCATTTCCCATCCTTAGTCACCCTTTCACCACAGCCATATCTGGTCCCCTCACCCCTGTGACTCCTCTGCTTAGCCCTTACTCCTCAGCCCTGTGGCCTGCCCTCCTCCTTCTCGCTCCAGCTTCAGTTCATCATTTAGTTTCCCTGGCAGCATTTTCCCTTCCCCCATCCCGTGGTTCTTCTAGCTCCAGGTCAGGTCATAGGCCATTGCCCTTCCTCCTTTGCTCTGCTCAGAATGAGGCCCCCATATCCAGATTGCCCAGTCTCAGGGGACCTAAATGTGGCCTGCACTCTGGGATTCACCAGACAGGGCTCCTTTCCATTATCTGCAGCACCTGAAACAGGCACAAATTCCATGCTCCAACTTCCAGTCCCTTCCCTATTCCATTCCCTGATGGAAGCTACTCCTACAGACTTTTGCTTGTTGCTTGGTGGCAAGGAATCTAGGGGAAGAGCACATTTGTCCAAATTGCAGTTCTATAACTGACTTGCAGGAAGACCTTGGCTGTGCTACTTACGTCCCTTGTCTATCAGTTTTCGCATCCCTAAAACAGGGAAATATGGGTTAATTCACACAAGACACATAGAACAGGGCCTGGTACCAGAAAGTGTCCTACCTGCCACTATTATTATTACTACCATTCCTTCTGTGGTCAGCTACATGTGTCTCATCTTAAAACACAAGTAACTCCCACCCTTAACATCCTAGGACTCCACTCTACTTGTTGTGCCCTCTGTGCCTTATTCCCTGAAAGAGTTGACAGTGCTCAATAGCTCCACCCTTCACTTCCTGGCCCACCTCTGTCCAGACCCTGCCCTTGCTGTCATGATGATGCTCTCAACTAGGGGCATAGCCAGCAGACATTCTTGAGACTACTCTTTCTGGACAGGACACAGCCTCTGAAACCAGAAGGAACAGAAATAGCCTTCTTGCATGTCTTAATGCTTAACACTCTGGGGGTCACCTCTGCATGTACCTGGGTGCTGTGAGCTAGGTTGCCTATATGGGTCCCTTGATACCCTCTCCCTGCACTACCCTGGCCACTCCCCACCATGCCCAGGGCCTCATGTTGCAGCTGCCCTCTCGACCCTGAGTGTAGACTGGCCATGCTGTTTGTAATGTGTTTTCAAATCCCAGTGCAGTGACTGGAGTTTATTTTTTATTTTTTTGCTACTGAGTATTGTACCCAGGGACACTTTACCACTAAGCTACATCCTCAGTCTCTTCCATATTTTATTTTGAAGCAGGGACTCACTAAGATGCTGAGGCTCCTCTCTAACTTTTGATCCTCCTGCCTCAGTGTCCTGAGTCACTGGGATTACAGGTATATACAACCACGTCTGCTTTGACTGAGATAGTTTTGATGCTCTGAAATGTTTCTTCCTGGGGTGTATCTGAGTGGTAGAGCATGTGCTTATCATGTACAAGGCCCTGGGTTCTTCAGTACCCAGTATACAAATAAAATTGAATAAATGAGTGAACCAACAAACAAAAGAATCAACATTTGAGATAGAAGAAAAGAGATAAAGGGGCAGAGAGAATTCTGATGTCTTGAGTCCCTAAGTTCAGGGGAAGTAAAAGAGGCAGCAAGAAGTTGGGCAAAAAATGCACAAGAAGATACCATTTGATGTTGGTCTGTTGATTGAGACCCAGAATGTGAGCAGGAGCCACAAGAGTGGAGGCAGTGTGAGATGCTGCTATGGGTACTCTAGAGTTGTTGGATTCTATTCAGGTCAGGTTGTATTCCATGAGTGTGAGAGAGTGGGGGTATTCAAACTGTGCTCAGTTCTTAAAAGTTTATTAATTATCATTCCTTTCAGCTTTTTCTATGCCATAAGTACCCCAATCCTTAATATATTTTGTTTTGAGATAGGGTCTCACTAAGTTACTGTGGGCCTTCAAAAAATGATGAGGCTGGCCTTGAACTTGTGATCTACCAGCCTCAGCCTCCCAGGTCACTGTGATTTCAGGCATCTAACAGTGCACCTGGAAGGAATCTAATTTCTTTATTGCTATGAATACCTTAAAGGAGGCAGAACCTCATAGAGCACAATGATTCCTGTTGTTTTTTGGATGTATTCCAGAGATGTTCTGATGTGAAATCTGATTTCCTTCTTGTGCACAATAGTGTTGAAGATCAAAGTCTTACTGTGTGGGCCATGGAGAATTGGGGGTGGACACAGGTGCTTCTGGGTCACTTGCAGTTGTTCCAGAATATTTGCTAGCTAAAGCTCTTGATGTTGGGGTGAGACTCAACCTAGTCTGGGAGCAGAAAGTGGAGAGACTGATGGATGAAGTCAGAGGAAAGAGAAAATAGAATAAGAAAGAGTACAAGCTAGTCAGTGTCCATGGGAGGATTTGACTTTTGAGCATGACCTTTAGTGCTTTGAGTACTAGAGGCCTCAGCCCAGATTTTCCTGGTCCAAGTGATTTGTGACTATGAAAACATGATTGGGCCTTTCTGCTGCCACTGCCCTGCCAGATAGTGAAAGTCAATGAAGGTACATTTTTAGAAAGAAATCAAGAGGAGAGAAAGTAAAGTGGGAGCAGGATAGAGACACCATTATTTCATCAGTTGAGCAGAGCAGCACTAGAAATGTCTTAAATGGTATCTGGAAGGACATGGCAGGAGGACATGTTTGGCCAATGGACATAGAGGAAGGATGTGGCAAAGGGAGGTAAAAGGTGATGAGGGAGCCCTGAGAAGGCAGGAGATGTGGGTGTAGTGTCAGCACTTGTCTGAAGAGAGCTGCCCACAAGTGTGTCCAGGGAAGTCATTCTTTCAGAAGCCTGGGAAGACTGGAGTCTCTGGGTCACTCTTGGGCTCCCCTGCCCTTGGAATCTTGCCACAGGCCTGCGCTGAGCCCTGCATTAACTTACCACCTTAGGGATTGTCACTGGGACATGGCCTTGCCCACTCCTGCTGATTCTGAGCTCCTCTTTCTATCCCCATCTCCCTCCAGCATGACAATCCCTTTGACCAAGGCTGCTTCACAAATTGTCACATCCAGATGTGTATGCCACTGGGACCCAAGTAAGTTGGTAAACCAGGGGATGAAGTGGTGGACCCTGGGGCTGGTGAGATGGGGTGAAGCTGAGTCCCTTTCCCTGGTCCCTTAATCTCCCACTCTAAGACCCTGATGCTCCCTGCTCCACTCCTTTGGGGTTTTGTCTATGGCACTCTGGGAGCCTCTGGGAATTTCATTCTGTCTTGCTCTTGTAGGTTCTTGCTACAAGAAATGGGGGAACAGGGGAACTGCTGCCTGGATGATGCTTCTGTATGAGAGCCCTGAGCTTTATGCTTTCCAAGCTGAGGTGTGAGGGTGGTCAGGGAGAACTGGCCAATGTGGTAGTGACCCCTGGCCCTTGAACTTTTGTTCTGCAGGTACATGACCCAAGCTGTCAGTCTGCAAATAGAGCTGGGGACTGAATGGGAGCCAACAGAGGTATACTTTCCAGCACAACATCCTACACACCTCCCTGCATCCAAGTCTCCAACTCTAGTCCCCTCAAGTAGTGGCCAGTCTGCACCTTTACAGGAGGTGTGAGGAGTAGTGGGTGTGCATTGAAACAGGGGTGTCTGTGGGCTGCACAGCTATTGGGAGAAACCCTTTAGGTTGGGCTGGCTAGGGAGCTGAAGCAATTGGAGCCTAAGGATGGGGATTATGGAACTGGACGGTGCACTGTTCAGGTCACAAGGCTTCAGAACACACTGAGGTGTCCCTGGATAGACAAAGAGATAATAAGACTAAACCACAAACTTTCTGGTTACTGCTTTTTTGAAAAATAATCTTATGGCTTCTTTAAAAGTCATAACAGTTATCTCACTGGTTTTTTGCTTTCTATATTTTGCCCTCTTTTCCAAGGAAGTCTTCTATTTCACTGGGTTTTCTCTTTCATATTGTGGATAACTATTATATGTAAATCTTGGATCTTTTCTCTTCCCCAGATTATGTATTTTATGTTTTTATATTTACATGTCACTCAAAGCCTCAATGTCATTCAAGGGACAATTGTGCATGAAATTCTTCACCAGCTAAGAGAGATTTTCCATAGTAATCACCTTACATGGAGCCAGGAAGAGAGAACTACTAATGGGACTTGCAGGGGACTATGATGCGGTGGCACATAATGCAGCTCCCAGACAGAGCTCTGAGGCCTGCCGTTGGATAGTGATCTCATGAGAGTGGATGTGTTTTCTTCATTCATTTCAATTGGCTCATTGAAGTGAAAGGGAGGCTAGGCATTATATCTTTGTAAAATATTTTGTGAAAATTTGTTTCTTCTTCAATGTTATTTTTCATAGATGGCTAGGGATTATTAGATGGAAAAATTACCCATGACATAATTAAGACACAATTTTACTGCAGGATGATAGGCCATAAAAGCATTGATTTGGGGCTGAACATGTAGTTAAGTGTAGAGAGCTTGCCTGGGATACATGAGGTCCTGGGTTCCATCCCTGGCATGGCAAAAACAATAGCAAAGCAAGGCAAAAAAGCCAGACATCTAGCTTCTAGGCGGTGGTACCCACCTATAATCCCAGCAACTCAGGAGGCTGAGTTAGCCTGCTTGTAAGTTTTCAGCCAGCCTCAGCAATTTTGATAGATCCTAAGATTAAAAAGGACTGGGGAGTAAGCTTGGGGGTGAGGCACACCTGGGTTCAATCCCCAATCCTGAAAAAGTAAATAAATACATAAATGGTTTTGAATCCTACCAATAAGTATTGATCTTTGAGTCTGCCATTCTGACTTTGTTCAGAAATTTGTTTTTAAAATATTCTAAACTCTTTCCTCTATTGCTTGAGAGCAATGTTATTAATCTGTAGAAAGTGTTCTGTGAATTTAGGTTGA